ACTGTGAAAATACTTCACTACAAATAAAAGTCCTGTATTAAAAACCTTCCCTCAGTAATATTATTAGTAAAGTATTATCAGCAACATGTACCTACAGTATTGCAGTAAAAGTATTGATGTTGCAGTTAAATGTTCTCTGATGTTTCTGGATTGATAATCCTGCTGCATTAATGTGCATGTTGCATTTTACTGCTGCAGATGTTTAATTACGATTTAGACTGATGGAATAAATATCTCAGGAGGAGTTTAGCTCTTAGGGTTTTTCTGTGTGTACCGTAGGTTATAAATTAAAATGTAGATTGCATGTACTTCATTTGTTGTATTAATCTAGACAATGTGTTATAATATATGTAGAGTTCTTGTTCTGAGACCCTATATACAAGCTTCAGATAGATTACCCACATATCTGCATAACTTCTTGTGATTGAACTCAGAAAAACCTGTTTCATCTGTGTGAAGATGTGTTTTCCAGCTGATCCAAAGGAAGGTTTAAAGTTCAGTTCAATTCAAAGAACTTTATTTATCCTTAGCTCATTTGTGTAGAGCATCGGTGTGTGTCCTGTTCACATTCCAGAAACATACACTCACCTAAAGGATTATTAGGAACACCACACTAATACTGTGTTTGACCCCCTTTCGCCTTCAGAACTGCCTTAATTCTACGTGGCATTGATTCAACAAGGTGCTGAAAGCATTCTTTAGAAATGTTGGCCCATATTGATGGATAGCATCTTGCAGTTGATGGAGATTTGTGGGATGCACATCCAGGGCACGAAGCTCCCGTTCCACCACATCCCAAAGATGCTCTATTGGGTTGAGATCTGGTGACTGTGGGGGCCATTTTAGTACAGTGAACTCATTGTCATGTTTGAAATGATTGGAGCTTTGTGACATGGTGCATTATCCTGCTGGAAGTAGCCATCAGAGGATGGGTACATGGTGGCCATAAAGGGATGGACGTGGTCAGAAACAATGCTCAGGTAGGCCGTGGCATTTAAACCATGCCCAATTGGCACTAAGGGGCCTAAAGTGTGCCAAGAAAACATCCCCCACACCATTACACCACCACCACCAGCCTGCACAGTGGTAACCAGGCATGATGGATCCATGTTCTCATTCTGTTTACGCCAAATTCTGACTCTACCATCTGAATGTCTCAACAGAAATCGAGACTCAGACCAGGCAACATTTTTCCAGTCTTCAACTGTCCAATTTTGGTGAGCTCTTGCAAATTGTAGCCTCTTTTTCCTATTTGTAGTGGAGATGAGTGGTACCCGGTGGGGTCTTCTGCTGTTGTAGTCCATCCGCCTCAAGGTTGTGCGTGTTGTGGCTTCACAAATGCTTTGCCGCGTACCTCGGTTGTAACGGGTGGTTATTTCAGTCAAAGCTGCTCTTCTATCAGCTTGAATCAGTCGACCCGTTCTCCTCTGACTTCTAGCATCAACGAGGCATTTTCGCCCACAGGACTGCTGCATACTGGATGTTTTTCCCTTTTCACACCATTCTTTGTAAATCCTAGAAATGGTTGTGCGTGAAAATCCCAGTAACTGAGCAGATTGTGAAATACTCAGACCGGCCCGTCTGGCACCAACAACCATGCCACACTCAAAACTGCTTAAATCAACTTTCTTTCCCATTGTGACATTCAGTTTGGAGTTCAGGAGATTGTCTTGACCAGGACCACACCCCTAAATGCATTGAAGCAACTGCCATGTGATTGGTTGATTAGATAATTGCATTAATGAGAAATTGAACAGGTGTTCCTAATAATCCTTTAGGTGAGTGTATACCACACACATCACATATCGATAAGATAAGTAAGTAAGCTTGTAATGAATAATAAATACATGATAAATAGGCAATAAACATTATGTAGTGCAGTAAAAGGACAATATTTAACTGTTGTTGTAGTACAAGTAGAAAGTACCTGGAATTCCTTGCTGATTTTGTCCCCATCACTTTTTTGAAAGCATTGTTTGTTAAAAATGTTCTGGAAAATATCTTACAGCAAGAAATGTTGACTAACAAATGAAACTGCTTTGAGAAAGGTGTATTTGCACAATAAGAAAACATGCAATGCAACGTAAATATTGAAGAAGCAAATGTGCACTGTCCCAAAAAAGTAACAAGTAAAACATGCTGCTGATTACTGCATTACTGTTATATGTTTTATCCTTCATTTTATATAAATAAAAACAGAAAAAAATTCTCCTGAATGAAAGAAATTAAGTGTTTAATACTCAACATTTTAGACCCTCCCCCTACACAGAATGTCCTCATATATATAACCATTAAATTTTTCTTCAAAATAGTGTTAAAGGGTTACCCTTCTCATCTTGTGCATCATCACATCTCTTATGTCCTCACCACAACACAAAGTGACGCCCTTGCTTGAATTTAATAAATGTACAAAGGCAACACTTTTGTTTTTGCCCCCATTCATCATGAGCTGAACCCAAAGATCTAAGACTTTCTCTATGAACACAAAAGGCCTATTTCTCTCAAATGTCTATGAAGATTCTCAGTCATCCAGGTCATAGTTATCCAACGAAGGTTAAAATCAAGGGCAACTGGACTTGGTTGAAGATACTGGAAGACGTTTCGTCCCTCATCCAAAGGACTTCTTCAGTTCTGACTGACTGGTAGGGAAACTCAGCTATTTAACCTCAGTGGGGTCGTTTTTCTCTCAAATATTGTTCACAAATCTGTCAAAATCTGTGTTAGTGAGCACTTCCTCTTTGCCGAGATAATCCATCCACCTCACAGGTGTGGCATATCAAGATGCTGATCAGACAGCATGGGGACTGCACAGGTGTGCCTTAGGCTGACCACAATAAAAGGCCACTCCAAAATGTGCAGTTCCATCACACAGCACAACGCCACAGATGTCGCAAGTTTTGAGGGCGCGTGTAGTTGGCATGCTGACTGCAGGAATGTTCTTTTCTCTACCATAAGCCGTCTCCCAAAGGCGTTTCAGAGAATTTGGCAGTACACCCAACAGGCCTGCCAACCGCAGACCACGTGTAACCACACCAGCCCAGGACCTCCACATCCAGCATCTTCACCTCCAAGATCGTCTGAGATCGGCCACCCGGACAGCTGCAGCAACAATCGGTGTGCATAACCAAAGAATTTCTGCACAAACTGTCAGGAACCGTCTCAAGGAAGCTCATCTGCATGCTCGTCGTCCTCATCGGGGTCTCGACCTGACTGCAACTTCGCACAGCCATTGAAGAGGAGTGGACCAACACTCCACAGGCCACAATCAACTACCTGATCAACTCTATGTGAAGGAGATGTGTTGCACTGTGAGGCAAATGGTGCTCACACCAGATACTGACCCCCCCAATACAGTGAAACTGCACATTTTGGAGTGGCCTTTTATTGTGGCCAGCTTAAGGTCTTTTAAGGCACACCTGTGCAATCCCCATGCTGTCTGATCAGCATCTTGATATGCCACACCTGTGAGGTGGATGGATTATCTCGGCAAAGGAGAAGTGCTCACTAACACAGATTTTGTCAGATTTCTGAACAATATTTGAGAGAAATAGGCCTTTTGTGTACATAGAGAAAGTCTTAGATCTTTGAGTTCAGCTCATGATGAATGGGGGCAAAAACTAAAGTGTTGCCTTTATAATTTTGTTCAGTGTATGTAATTTCCACCACTGGATACAGTACATGTTTACGTCCCTTTCAGAAAGAAATAGAAAATGTCCTGTCCTCGTTTTCTTCACAGTTAGATTATATCTATTTATTGTTTTTGTGTTGATGTTTCGTCTTTTCAGCCCAGTCCAGCAGACAGCAGAACTCTCGTGTGTTTTTAAAGGTCAGTTAAAAGCAGTTAAGGAATAAAGCTGCGTTTCCGTGACAGATGTTGCAGATTACTGAGAGACACGGTGTTCGTTTCTGTCTGATGATCCCGTTTGGTAATCAAGTCACATTTATAAACAACAGGAGATGTTGATCCAAAGTGCTTTACAAGCACACAACCCACACAAAGACAAATGTAGACAAACAATCGAACAAGGAGTATATACTGTACTATTGTGTATCCAAATACACAATACAACACTAGTACACATCAATAAAAGGAATATGGAGTACTCAGTTAAAAATTCTCAGTTATCAAATTCAAAGAGACTAGAAGGAAAATAAATAACAAGGAGTTATTAGAGGAGCTGTTGTGAAAAGGTGACATAAGCAAGCTAGGCGCAGAATATGAAATTAGCATATCTGTAACATATCGTGGGGATAAACCATTATGGGGCTTTAAAAACAAATAACATTTTAAAATCAATTCTCTACTTCAGTGGTAACCAATGCAAGTGAAACAAGACCGGAGTGATGTGTTGTCTTTCCTTTGTTCCAGTTAAAAGTGTAGCGGCTGCATTTTGAAGGTGATAAACGCACGTATAACTGTTTCCAGGTCCCTATGGGATAGAAATGGTTTCAGTTTGTTGTTGTTTTCCTCTACGATTGTAAGCTGATAAAAACTTTAGGTCTTTTCTGTGCTGCTGTGACCAGAGGTTTCACATAAAATCTCACCGTGTCAGAACTGAAATGCTGAAGAACTCAAATAAAACATGGGACCGCTTCCAAAATCATAACAAGCACACCTGCTGGCAGCCATCTTGTTTTCTGACACCATAAGATGTTTAGTTTCAAGCTTATATTAAAATTGGCCAAACTGATTGATCTGTCTCTAAAAATGATATTAATATAATAAAATAAATGTTGCATGTAAGTCCATAACAAGTATTTCTACACTGTAGTAAAGCTACAGTTTTTACTTAAGTAAACTAAGAGTACTTCTTCATCGCTTTATTATAAAACTTTGTTTCACCAAGTTAGAAAATCTCTTTCACAGAAGACAGAATAAAACACAGAGGTTACACAAAACACAAACTAATATTAGAAATATATTTATTTACTGGAGTGTAAAATAGAAATTATCCCTCAGTGTTCATCACAGTTTGAAAGGAAATGATGCCACCTTGTGGTCGAACCCGAAGCTGTGACTTTATTCAATTTATTGGTTTATTTAACAAAGAAACAAACATAAACACATATAAACATTAATACACAATAGGAACCATTAATATACAATACTAAACATATACATTAATAAACAGTTAACATTTAAATTAACATCACTTGATAAAGATTAAGAAACATAAATAAAGATTAATAAAAATAAATAAACATTAAAGATAAACAAAGACTAAGAACCATTAATACACAAACATTCATAAACACACAGAAATACACATTAAGAACCGTTAATAAACCACAAACATTAAAAAACGCCAACATTAATACACAGACATGTACACACACTAACAAACATTATTAACCATAAAGAAACAAACATACACACATTAATAATTATAAAGAAACATCCACAGGTGTGAATGTGAGTGTGACTGGTTGTTTGTCTGTGTGTGTGTGGCCCTGCGATGGACTGGCGACCTGTCCAGGGTTACCCCGCCTTTCGCCCGATGTCAGCTGGGATTGGCTCCAGCCCCCCGCGACCCTGGACGCAGGATAAGCGGCTGACGATGGACGGATGGATAAAGAAACACTAATAAACAGTATTAACTATAAACATTAATAAATTGCTGTAAATGATACATGAGTTGGCTGTTTTTTCATCTGTAACATCTGTTACACTCCAAAAGCTAAAATAATATATAAGCATCTAGAGCAAAAATACAAAGTTAACAAATTAATATTAAATTATTCACACTGTACGATTAAAACATGCAACACAGAAAAAGCAATGAAATATTATTGTTATTAGAAATAAGGAGAAAATAAGGCGACAATATTAAACACTAACTGAATTTAAAAGACAAATCACAATGAAAGACAAGCAGATATATATTTATACGTAATATTTATGTAAAAGCTAAAGGATTAACTACAATAAAACAAGATGAGATTAAGGAGATTATAAATATATCCAAGAATCATAAAACACGTAGTTGTAGAAAGCTGCACGTTCATTTTCAGCGATGGGTTTTAGGATTAGTTTGCCATCTCCTCACGACCTCTGACCTTCCTCTCCTTCAGACCAGGCCGAGGGCAGAGCCGAGCTGCTGCAGCAGGTCCACATTCAGGTAAACCCGGCAGAACGTGAGGAACACGCCGACAGACGAGAACCCGATCAGAAGCCAAAGAACCTGAGCGCTGAAGTACAGCGGAGCCAGACTGCAGAGAGAGAGAGACGGGAACCACGTCACGTTTACAGAACCCATCAATGTTCTGAGGACAGAGGAGTACTACAGTGAAAGTAGGAATACTACAGTGTAGAAATACTCTGTGACGAGTCCTGCATTCAAACAGTATTAGCATCAAAGTACCAAAAGTAAAAGTACTCATTATGCAGAACGAAACATTTTTATTACTGGATTCTATTTATTGATGTATTAATGTGATCATCACTTCAACTGATTTGTATATTTCATACAACACGTCCTCACACCCACTCGACATGGCCACTAGAGGTCGCCGCCTAACGATAAATGGAAATACGGGTCGTAACAAGATGATCGAACAAATGACTGATACGGATGACTTTATCTGCTTGTGAATTTCTAACCAGGACGAATAAAGTTTGGTCTTTGTAACTGGTTTACCAGAAGTGAGAAGAGAAGTTTGAATAAAAAGAGAACTAAAGTGCACATAGGACATAAAGAAGTATACAGAACTTAAACATGTTAATCCAACACATCTTTGTAGCAGCGTCCACATTGTTGATTCCACATTCAGACCATAGACTGTTTATAAGAAGTGGACGTAGTCATGGTGACGTCACCCGTTGGTTTCTGGACTATCGTTTTGAAGCGGCACCGAACGTGACCATATTGTGAAGAGACGGTGGAGCTAACGGCCGTGTGCGGAGTTAGCTAGCTTGCTTAGCAAGGTGCATCTGTAATTCACATTAGCTGTGATATTAGCTGGGATGCTAATTTTAGCTAGCGACAAACAGGCTTAAAACAAAACGTACTTCCTGAAAAATGAGAGCAGCAGATACGAGTCGCCTAGCGACCTGTCAATCAGCTTGTAGCCCCGCCCTAAAGCCTCCCCTGCTTCCTGGTCTCTAAATGGGACCATAATTTACTAAATGAACATCATGCTGTGTTGAAGAAGACTTGAAACTAGAGACTGAGACCAGAAACTCATCAGGAAAGCGTTTACTGAGGGAATAAATCAGCTGACAAGTAGAAACATTTTCACCGTTATTTCTAATGGAGCCCCCCTGCTGGCCGTTTGATAGAATGCAGGTTTAAGGGACTTCCGCTTTGAATACATGTCTCAAACCGGAAGCTTCTCGCTCGGTTTAGACTTTAGAGCGCATGAACACACACTGAAGTCGGAAGAACGACTTCACAACCATCCGAGGAGCACATGAATGCACCGTGAGCTGCCGGTTGCAATTTGCAACCCTCGCCACTAGAGGTCACTGAAACACTGACCCTTTAAGTTCAGGCATGTGTGCCTGTTTTATAGTTTTAGGTTGATTATTTTCTTACTGAAATCTTTCCAAATAAAACTCACAGCAGTACGCCGAAAGAGCTGTTGTCTTTACCTCTCAGGTTACAGCCACACTAATATGGGGTGGTGATGGAGCAGTGGATAAGACACATGCCTTTGGTGTGAGACACTCTGGTTCAATCCCCCACTGTGACCCATCCACCACTGTGTCCCTGAGCAAGACACTTAACCCCTCGTTGCTCCAGAGGCGTGCAACCTCTGACATGTATAGCAGTTGTAAGTCGCTTTAGATAGAAGCGTCAGCTAAATGTACTACTTTTTGTTTTAAACGCACATGAAGTGACCGTTTACCTACACTGAGCATGTGCGCAGATTGTCTACTCTGCAGCTAAAGAAGAAAGTTCTACTGGAGACGAACGCAGAGCAGCGATGGTGAAGAACCACAGCAGAGACTTCTCTGCACGAGGTGGAACTGTTACTGCGAGGAACACGGGAGGACAGAGAGGCTGTGGCGGTAGAAACAGGCTGGGGGTCGCCGCAAAGCAAATCTCGAGACGTGCAGAGTACAAGTGTACAAGTGTTATTTACACAGTACTGAATATTTTAATAAAACTCTGTCTGTTTCTGCCCTGCATGACTGATAAGAGTCAATCAGGAAGCCGAACGTGAGCGTCTGCGTCATCGTTTTTAAAAGTCCTCCGGAGTTTAAAACCTAAACGGGGTCAGCAGCGTTTTCAAAGTTCTGAGTTTTAGGTGTTTTTGTCTGGACGGGAGACAGAAACGTAGTGTGGACGTAGCTTCAGGCTGCACAGAGGCTGTCTGCTCAGACTCCACACGTGATTGATAACCCCCCCCCCCACCTCCGCCACGCTGACATCAGCTCAAGGTCATGAAAAGCGGCGTGCACGGCTCCTCTCAGCTTTCTTATCTTCTTCTCTAAACACTAAAATCCAGTCAGAACCAGTTTCCAACAAGCTCATCCGGAGACACCCAGAGGTCCTCTAATCTTTACGACTGGCCCTGAACGCCCCACTACGGTTCTTCAACAGTGAGTCGTTTCTCTTATATTCCAAACTTTTGATATGTGTGTGATATTTTCATCTCCAGGTAATTTTCTATTAAAAAGAGGGACGAGACAGTAAAACCATCTCAACATACAACCGTATCTATCAGAACAGGTGTGGAACTGAGACATTATACATCAACTCCAATAAATACATTTTTAATAATAAAATAAGAGAGAATTCCTACCGTCCCTGAGCCGACTGCGAGTATCCGCGGAAGTAACGGAAGCGTCCGTGTAAATACAGCAGACCGCAGACAGCCGACAGACCTGCAACGCACACACAAACAATAAAGATCCACGTGAGCAGAAGCACAAACACCGACTGAGACGGGCTGCGGGGGTTCATGTGCAGTCACCTGGGCTGAAGAAGACTCCCGACGTCCACAGGACGGTGATGAAGATGGGGAAATACTCGGAACAGTTGGCTCTGGACACACAGCAGAGGGTTAATGTGGTCGCTGAAGTGGTGGAAGGTGTTAAAGCAACATGTTATCTTAATACAACAGACTTAAAATCATTTTTAAGCTACGCGAAACGCTTCGCGGCACCAACACGACTCTTCAGGAGGCTGTAAGAAGACGCAAAGAGTTTATAAGGTACCAGGTGAGCTCACTGGAAGAAGCGAGCTCGGTATTCTCCGTGTGGATTTCAACGTTAAAACCACCTCACAGCTGAGGGTCTTTACTCTGCCGGGGTTGGCTGCAGGTCCGAGGCCGCTATGAGCTGATTGGCCGGCCGGCTCGTTAGCGCCCCCCGCTGACGGTTGCAGCACATTTTAGATTCGCTATCTTCTTTATGAGCCTCTCTCTCAGCTTCTTTCCGCCCCTCGCTTGAATGCCGAAATGAATGCTGGGAAAGTTGAGAAGGGTCCAGCTGCAGCCCGCAGACAAACGTGACGGAAGTTCAGCTTCCATATATGGTTGGTCCCAGAAGCCACCGCGCACAAAACGTGATGGCGTTTGTCTCGGCCCACGCACAGCTGCTAAATAAGAAGTGTCAACGTAGTAACCAGTGTACATTATGTGTTAATGTTTACTGGACTATAATTATATATTAATACTGTAATTCCTGCAAATATTCATTTATAATAATGATAATAAAGCAATGTTTCAATTCAAAACGCTGTTGTTTTTATTTGTTCTTTTAAGTTTCACAAGCCAAGAATGTTTCTCACATCACTAACCGGCTAACGGCCAGATAGCTGGCTAACTATTCTTGACAACCCCCCCGAGGCATGTTACCCTAACCCCAACCCTCACAGGGTGTGCGCCCAAACCCATTCGACGTGCGACTCCATCGTGTTGCTGTGCAGGTCCGGTGCTAACATTACAGCGGTTTATTGACACCCGTCGGAGCTTCTTAACTCCCAAAACGAAAAGACAATTTTTGATTTGTTACCAATTTTCATAAAACTGCCGATGTTTGGCTGTTAGTAAAACTGTCTGATCGTAAGAAACACGCGTACAGCTTACGCTCTGAAACAGTTGCCACGTCACACAATAAAAACACAAAGTTGCTTTAAAGTAAGAAGAACAGAAACAGACAGAAAACACTCGTTTGTGTCCCAGAGGAGCTTTCTGAGGAACCAGGAAACACCGTCAGTCTCAGCATCCATCTGCTGTAGGTGACGGCGCTGCGGACGGGGGTTTATTCATTTATTATTCACGGGATTTGATCAAACCAGAAATCGTCAGAACAACATGGAGAAACACTCCACAGATCCTCGGCTCTGATTTGTGCCTAAATTAAACTGTAAAAGCCCTTAAAGTGGTAAAAGTAATCAAACTTCTGTGTTCATTTTCTAATATCACAGTGAGGAGCGTTTGAAATGCACCCAGACTTCAGTCACTTTTCATCAAATTAAACCAGTTCAGTCAGTCTCCACTCACACTTTCCCAGCATGCCCTCGTGCACTGACCAACTGGTCTAACTTGAAAGTTAAACTGAAGCAAAGGAAAGTTTTGCAATGATGAGTCTCGTGTGAGACAATCAAAAGCTCCAGAACAGCCACTAAATGGACCTTGTGGTGAGACAGAGAGTCTTTAATGATCAGTGTTATTGTTTCAACTCATTTGTTTATTTTTTTATAGGAAGTTCCTGCTTTTGTCAATGTGAAGACTTGCAGCTGCCGTAGAATCCTCATTTTCAGGTTCACACTTGCATTTAGGGTTTCTTCTAGAAAATGTTCACGTTTAAAAATGAAATGTCTCATCCTGTCCGTTGCTTCAGCTCCTCTTTTCACCCTTTCAACACTCTGTTTTAGCTCCTGTCTCTTTAACACCCCCCCCCCTCCCTTCCCTGAAAGCCTACTTGCATCCGATTGGCCAACGTCTCCAACCGATCTGAAACTGGATCAGATCTGATGGAGAAAATATTGCCCGGGTTTCCCTCTGATGTCCTCCGGCTGCTCTGCCTCCAAAAGCAAGATTGTGTGCTACTTGTTACTTTGCCGCTAATTCCCGCTAACAACAGCTGCTGCTAGCTACTCTGTTAGCAGTGCAGCTAGCCGTCCTAGTGCTGATTCTGCCCGGACTGGAAGCTCCGGGGGGGTTGGGGGGGTTTGGTGTTTACACCTCTAACATTAGTACAGAAGCTCTGGAGTGCTGGTTCAGAGCCGGCTGGTAACAGCAGCTAATGTTAGCAGCAGCTAATGTTAGCAGCAGCTAATGTTAGCAGCAGCTAGTGTTAGCAGCAGCTAGCGGTTACTGTAGCGTTAAGTAAAGCTATCTGTCCATCAGGAAGCTTCATAAATCACAGATTTGAAAATATTTCCGTCCAGCACTTTCTGAACAACCTCCAGCTCCATGAGCTCGTACGAACGCTTCTCTGGAACGTTATGTACATTTTGGGGCCGTTAAAGATCCCAGATGTTACATCATGTTTTTTCCAGGGTATTTTGCATACGTGAGATTTACATATGAAGGAGGAAACACTGGAGATTTTGGCTCACGGTCTGTCAGTTCCATGAACTGAACTCTTTTTATTCAACTATGCAAAAGGAAACAGTTTTTCATCCCACAGCACCTTTAATGTTTTCCTCTTTTAAAAAGCTGAAGTGGGCGTTTTGTCCTCGTTTTCTGGCGTCCTCAAACTGTTCCGCACATTCTTGTGGACTGACATGACCACGCCCAAAGTAAATGTTAGATCTAAGTAGGTCAAACATTTGAATCCCCCCTTTCATCCCAACCGGTCGAGGCAGATGGCCGCTCACCCCGAGTCCAGGGTGATACTTCTACGTCGTGAGCGTGCCGGCGTCCGCGTCGCTCTGCAGACACCCCTGACCGGCGGGGTCTCTGCTGAGTCTCTGAATGATTATTTTTGAGTTAGAGCTGATCGATGTTGCTTTTAGCAAAATCACTAAAACGCAGAAACAAGAGAAAGCGTTGATGGGATGTACGACTCCTGAACCAGTTGAGGCAGAAGACGACGAGCCGGAAATGCGACGCTGCCAAGTCGACCAATCACAGTTCTTACGGTCTGCGGCGTAGATACAACAGAGAAGTATGAATTGACCTTTAAAGGGAGTCTTTGTTGCCTGCTCACGGTGGGAACTGTTGGATCTCAAAGAGTAAAAGTTGCACCTGCTCTGTATGAAAATTCAATAAATATTACAACCCTTTATTTTTATTAAATAAAACTCACTGAGCTCTGAAGACTCTCTCAAACTCAGGCGGTCCCGTTGTGGCGGGTGGAGACACCGAATACTTCCTCCTTGCATAGATCACCTGCAGAGAGAAATAAGCTGGACACACACACCTTTATATTTAAATATTTATATAAACACAGAGAGGGGTGTGTGCAGCGCAGAAACACGACTGTGCAAGCACGTGGAGATTAAATGAGTGTGGCGTGTTTCTTTGTGTCAGAGCTCATGTGCTTCTGATTTACTACAAACGTCACAAATCAAACTTCATTCATGCAGCAGCTGGTGTACAGATCAAAGTTCACGCTGTGTTTGTAAATGCAAAGCTGATTCGTAAAAATAACATAATACTAATTAAACTAAATGAAAGCAGAGAAAAGGTGAAGGCAGATTATGTGTTTATATAAAATAGCAAAATAAGAAAATCAACCAGAGTAAAAGATAAAACCTGGAAAGAGTTCAGGAATAAAATGAGAACTAAAGTTACATTAATATCACAGTGAGGACAGTTTGAAATGTTACCAGACTTCAGTCGTTTCTCATCTAATTAAACCAGCACTGTCTCATATTTCCCAGCATGCCCTTCTTACCTTGCTCCAGCACGCCCAGCACGGTCACAGCGCCGAGGCCGACCGCCTCGTCCAACATCTCTGCAGCAAGAGACGACGAGTCAGAGCGACAGGTGAGACAGAGACACGCACCTGAGCACTGAAACACTGTGGGGAAATACAGACCGGTGACAGAGAGAGCACACCTGCAGGGGGCGGGGCCTGAAATACACTGCACGACAGGTAACCAGGTTAATGACTCACCCACCCTCACCCAAATCAGCAGATGACGTTGGCTGGATGGTTCTCGGCAGAGAATTTATTTTCCGCTTTTAAACGTTCATGAATGTTCTTAAATCAAACAGACCAAACTCCTGTTTAAAAATAACTGATTTTACAAAGATAACAAGATGTCGATGTTGTTTCAGACCAAACCTTCTGACTTGTGACCATCGACTCCACAACACCCTCAGTCAAGGTTCGTGCTGTTGATCTTCAGCCAAAGAGTCGGGTTCATTTCAATCCACTTGGCTGGTCATTTCGTAGAAAGCAACCTATGTGACTTGGTCGGGGAAAATGGAGACAGTTTCATTGGTACGGTTTAATTAACTTAATTAAATGTTGGTGTAACCCACAACTTAAGAACTCTAGACAAGAGGACATTCAGTTTCCATGGCTGCCATATTCTGAAGAAGTGTAATGTGCTCAGCTGGGAAAACCTCAACAAATCCTAAAATGTTTGCTTAGTTTATAAGATTGTTCAGAGTCTCGCTCCTCCTCCAAAATCTGGGTACTGGAGGTGCAGCTAGGAGGGACTGCACAGTCCAACTGGGAAAACTACCTGTAGCCGGGCCGTCTGTCCCTGCAGAGCGCCGTCTCCAGGGGCTGATTTCTCACCTCAAAACTTCTCAAAAGTGGATTTAGTATGAAAAATATAAAACTTTCTGTTGCTGGCCTCTGTCAGGCGCAATGATGACACACTGAACAGTGACGCTGCTCTCTGACCGTCGCCTCAGCTCGCTTGGATCCTCGACGGAGGTGACATGTAAAAAAGGACCTGGAAGCAGGTCCAACTGTTCCACAGAGAAAAACCAAACCGAGGCGAGCCGGTGGAAAAGGGGCTTATGTCACCACCTAAGAAACATTCTGCTACGGGGGCCTCCGCCCAGACTTGTGAGCCATGTAAACAATTTTCCATTGGTGCCCAGTCACAGCTGACACTGCAGCGCTCTCACCTCTCCTTTACAGCAGTCTCAGTAATACGCCTGAAAGGAAACCTCCTCATAAAGTCTGGTAGGACTGCTGCTGCCTGTGTTTCTCCTGGGTCTGTGCTGGTACTGGATTTGGATCAACTGGGCTAATCCTGGCTTATGATCCAGCATCTACTCTACTGCCAAATTAAAGCAGAGCCCCTGTAAATTATATATATCAATACTTGCTAGATATCAGAGTTAAACTGGCTCCCAGGTTTCTTTAAAGCTAAAATACTGTTTATACTCTGCCTGGGCGACATGGCCGAAAATGTTATCACATATAATAAATCCCATTTCATTTGATACGATAATTATCAGGATAAATGACAAATTATCACTTGTATCAAGTTTCAAGGCTGATTTTTGCTCCTGAGTGAAACCAGATGATTAATTGTGGTTTAAACTTTTCTTCGTGGTCAGAACATGAAAATCACTCACTGAAGAGCGGATCGCTTCACAAATCTGAGGCAGAACACTCAGAACCGTGACGGGAACATCTGTTTTCAACAAATACGCCCCAGTACAATAAAGTTTAATCTTTTTTCACTCAACAAAATAAACATCTTAATAGAAAAAGTGCTTTGTTCAGGATTCGGATGAAGATCAAACTTTTATTGAACATTTGTTATATTGTCATTGTCGCAATAATTGGTACCGTTTTATTGTCCAGCTCTTATTAACTTGACTGAATAAGTGATGTTTAGTAATTACTGGGAGATGTGCAGCCTAGTGTTGTAGTCTGGACCGCCCAACCGAGACCAGTTCCCCACATTACATCACACACACTAAAAATGTGGATCGAGATCAGAGGGACTCAAGTTGATCTGAAAGATCCACATTCCCATTAAAACACCCGCAAACAAACAGAGCTGAAATCAACGTCAGCATCTTTATTCAACGCTCCTTTTCCACGCTGAGCATCGCGGGGAGGGGGGGGCAGGCGTTAACGGGAACAAGTTTAATCAGGGTTTTTGGCTGCATTTGAAGAAGTCAAAGTCAGGATGTTAATAAATCAGACGACGCAAAAGCAATTTGTTAATATTCCCAAAGTTACGGTCTTGAAATAAAATCCAGAGTCCTCGACGTCTGAGACCGAGACATGCGGTCGAGTCCAAGACCATCAAAAAGACCGGTCTCGAGTACTTCAGCACTAGTACAACCATAGTACCCAGTCTGCCCTGCTGATCAACATTTTAATAGTAACTGTGAATCCACTGCTTTGCTGCATTAGTCCAGAGTTGTTCACTGAGAGACAGATAATCACCGTCTTGTTTTAAAATGAATGTGCCTTTTAGCAGTGCCATCACATCCGAGCGCTGGCTGGACTGGTCCCACTAACTGAGGACTGGAGCTAAATAAAGGTAATACATAGTTGTATTTCACGCCGATATTGTTCAGTCTGGCGAGAAACCAACAGACGGAGACGCGATGGCCAGCTGGCGTAGCAGCGCTGCAGCTGCACCTGAACGCGAGTTTACCTGACCTGTGTTCATAGAGTCATTTTCTCTTCTTGAGCGCAGGACAAAAGTCCCTCTTCATCCTCTCACCAACCTTGTAAACACTTTCAACACTGACTCGTTTTTCACGACGTTTCATATCGAGTACTGTCTGTAAGCAAAGAGATCCTCCCGAGAAAATGTTATCCCATAGAGAAATCTGCAATTCCACATCATTTTGGACCATTATTATTATTATTCTTAACCCTAGAGCACATTTTAAACAAACACCTGCCAAATGAGCAGATGTTAATGTTTTACATTCATGGCCAGCACCCAAGCTGTTTTGGGCCTCAGCTCCTCGTAACGGCAGGAAAACCCTGTTAATCTTTACAGATTGTTCATGTTTGCACGTTGTGTCTTAATTTACTGCTTTTTACATTTCTAGAAATGAACATAAAATCAGGAGAACCACAGCAGCTTAAACGGTGACTCGTTTGCATCCCTAACCTGCTGTACCAATCCCATCCGAGCTGTGCTGCCACCGTCTCACTGATTCTGTGCAACTACGTTCCCCTAGAAAATGTATGAAGTCGGTGGTTTCCTGCAAAGCTCCGCCCTCTTTGTTGATGTTGGATTACTCCTCCTGACACACACACACACACACAGAAACACACGGAGAACAAAACTTGTTTCTAAAGAACTATATTTACATAATACTCTTGTTTTACAGAGAACCATATCAAAAGTATAAAATACTTACAAAACCTCCGCTGCAATATATAAAAATAACATCTATCTTCTCCAGATCTTTAGGAAAGGCATACATACAAAAAAATATATTTATAGATATTTACACACACAGAGATCCTGTTCACAACAGTTACACCGAGGAAACGACTCCGGAAGATCCGACGCAGGTCGGCAGCCGTTCGGATCCCAAGCCATCGTTTAGCAGTAATAACGTTACAAATAATAAAATACACAACAAAAAGTCACACGAAACAGTACAGCAGATAGAACGACCGGCTCGCAGCTCCAACTTAAAACAGAGAGACAGACCAGGCAGCAGGCGAGGAACACTTTACACAACGAGGACTCTGAGCTGCGTCCAGACTCCACGTTAAGTTCATCAGTCCGACCTGAACGTCTGCCGGCGCGTCAGGAAACACGGCAACATTTTGAAATGTGGGAGCTCAAACGTTAAAACATTTTCTAACTGCGAACAAAAGTCAGAAGTTCTTTGTCTCTGAGAACCAGTTTCATACTTTCATACTTCATGTGAATTTGTTTTTTTACCATCGTAAGATGCAGAATTCTGAGTGAAACACCTGCAGGGTGAAAGATTTAAGAAAACCTCACAGGACTCGATGCTTCACAGCTCTTGGGACATTATTGCCTGAATTCAGACTCCCAGGCACAGTTCCACTCTTACCCCCCCTCTATCAGCAAGGGTCTGTAAAACAGAAGCCCAAAAGTAGGACTGAACGCGTGCAGTGAACACGTCTGCCTGTGCAAACATCCAGTAACAGCATAAACATGGCTGCCTGCTCTTCACTGGTACCGGACCCTCTAAGCATTCAGTTTTTGGCTGAAGGAGGTCCGCTGCCTGGGAGGCTTTATTCAGGGAGAAAAACTGCAGGATTCTTTCATCGCTTCCTGTCGCTGCTCTGCATTTACATTAAATCTACAGTCGAGTAAAAACGTTGAAATGTTGAGGGGAAACCTTGAAAACACGAGCGCGTCGGCTCACCGGAGCTGCAGCTTCACCTGTTGCTCCTACTTCTCGTGATGCTCGCACACTTCAAAACTCACGCCAGGAGGTCAAGGTTTGACCTCTGCGCGCACACACAGGTCTGAATGGGATCTACAGCGCCTCCTGTTTCTGGGAAACTTCAGGTTTAAAAGGGAACACGTTAAGGTTGCACTGTTCCACGCGGTACAATAAGAAATGTGTAGTTGACCGACAGCCACAAATTTTCTCTGATTAACTTGATTTGTCACCTGAAGGAATCACAGAACGGGAGAATAACTCTCCTGGTGCTCCGGAGCAACTTCAACCCTCTTGCTGTTCATCTAAAGAGTCAAAGAGCCAGCAGCACATCCTGCACACGCTTCACGCGACGTGAACCCGCCACACAGGCCGCGACTACAAATAAAAATCACTTTACATTGCTGCAGGTCATTTCCCTAAACAAAAGCCGCCGTGTGTGTTTTAGATATTTAAATCTTTGTTTTCCCAGCAGCGCCTGTTTCCAGATATTTCCCTACAGTATGAAAATCAACTTGTAAACTTGTTTTGAGTTTGTCTCCTCCATCACGTCTGCTTTGAATTTCAGCACAGTAACGTAGTAAAGTAAAACCAAGACAAAAAGATCACACGTGTGCAACGGGCGAGCTGCTTTTTACACTGAAGTGTAATAAAACACGTTTGGAAACATGACGGGACGCTCCGACCCCGGGACAGCGGATGAAGGCGGATGGATGGGATGCAGTAATTTAAAGTATTTGTGATTTGTAGTAAAAGCCAAGTAGATTTTAACCTCCAGTGGATTCGCTTCATTTCTGCTGAAGAAACTCTAGTTCTAAAAGTGTTTGAAGCTGCAGCCTGAGCGACGCTGGCGGTCTCTAGGTGGCGCTGTGTGTGCGCGTGGGTGGGGGGGTGCAGGTACAGTGGTTCAGTAGTAGTAGTCTTAATACGACTCCTCCGTTCAGTCTCCAGTCAACAAACACCGCAGTGAGTCACAGACTCAACGTCGGTCTGCAGTCGAAGCCCCGGGCGCCTCGCTCGGTTACAAACGCACACTCGTGGCAGAACAGGTGGAAATCTAACCCGTAAAATAAAAAGAACACCTGCAAACTACAATAACTGGATAAAAAATAAAAGTAGTAAAACCTTCTGCTGGTGCAGTTTGAGGTTGTGACAGAAACCATCAATGTTCCTGCAGCGTTTACAGGAGCCTGTATTTCTAAATATCTGCGGTTGTTTGAGGATGGCAGCGTTATTTCAGACAGAACAGGAAATGAGGGAGGGGACGACCCGGGTCGCTGCGATAAGGAGCTTCCTGTCAATATAAACATGTGAGGTTTCACTTGAATTACTGGTCCGGAATAATTTAGACTCCTGCTGTTCTACCACGTGTGAGATTTTGCAAACGAGCGACTCGTCGTTAAATTGCTAAATTTTTGAATGAAGCTTGGTGGTGAAACATCCGTTCTCAGCTCATCTGTGAAAGTTGGACTCGGTTCATCAGCTTTCGGATTTTAAACCTCCAGCCGCCCCGAGTGTCTTTCAGCGAGAGGTGCGGTCGAGCGAGCCGACGTGGACCTCGGGAACTCTCAGCACGCGGACTTTTCACTTCCGTGTTTGGCAGCCGGTTAATAAATATCTGACAAAATGAGACTGTGATCCAGTCGCATCACGTCCTCAGAGCGATCAATAAACAACGTTTACAGACAACCTTCATTACTTTCCCGGCCGGCGAGCTCAGAGCTGGCTGGACGTCAGTTCACTTCACCGGCTGGGTGGCTGACGCACCGACCTCCTGCCTGGATCTCTTTCTACAGATCAGAACGGCGTCGGTCTGCAAAAGAAATCATCGGCGAGCCGTCCTCGCAGGTACAGCAGTGCGGCCTCGCAGCTCAGCAGGGTCCAGGTGCTGCCGCTGCAGACGGGTGCGTCTAACTAGTGGTGGCTGGCGAGCAGTTCGTCCAGGTCGGCCATCCACTCCTGGGCGCTCTGGCCCTTCAGCAGGGAGTCCACCAGCTCGCTCTCGCCGGCGAAGCTCCCCGACGCCACGTTGTATCCAAACGACACCTGCTGCTGCTGCTGGCTGGCAGTCCTGCTCACCTGGTATCCTTGGTTACACTGCAGTGCCTGGCGGCCGTTGCCCTGCGGCTGTCCGAACGCCGCCAGGTCGGGGAGGACAGTCTGGTTTTGAGTGGCCTGTTGTTGTTGAGTCTGCTGCTGATTGGCCATCGGCTGGCCGAGGCCTTGAGGGTTGGGCGGCGCCCTCTGCTGGGCGGCTGCCATGTTTGCTTGCATCATCTGCTGCCCGGGGTTCAGCCCTCCCATGGGACGCCCGCCGGGGTTCGCACCGAAGGGTGCAGCGGCAGGCGGCATCTTGGGAATGCGAGGATGCTGTTGCATGTGGAAAGCGTTGGGGGGGTTGTTGAAGGCGTTGGGCGGGAGGCCGGCGTTGCTGGAGGACGGCTGGTTGGCCAGCTGCTGCTGCCAGGCGGCGCTCTGGGCGCCCTGCATGCTGCCGGGCATGGAGCCGGGCAGGCCGGCTCCCAGACTATTCTGCATGGAGCCCGGCATGCGGGCGGCGGCGGCGGCGGCCAGCTGCTGCTGCTGCTTCATCATGGCGGCGTTGGGCTGCACCTTCAGATGCTGCTGAGCCAGAAGGTTCTGCCTATAGGCGGCGCTCATGGGGCCCAGAGGCTGGCGCTGCAGGCCGGCCTGCTGGGGCGGGTGGGACGGGTGATTGGCGTGAATGTTCATGTTGTTGTAGAGCACCTGCTGGACGTCCACCCCGGCCACGCCTCCTCCGCCCCCGCAGGACGACAGACTGATGTCGGCCTGACTCGTCGACGTGGACGGAGCTACGCCACCTGCCGGCCCGCCGCTCTGACCCATGTTCATACCCATCATACCTTGGTTCTGAGGGAACATACGCTGGGGTCCGGGGGCGGGGCCGCCCATGGAGCCGACGCTGCTCATTGGCTGAGAAGACGCTGTGAAGAAAAGAAAAACCAGAGTTTGTAAACTGCAGCATCACAAAACCGGCAAACGATTCATTTAATTAGCCATAAATCTGCCAATCACTTTCTCAAATAATCATCTTTCTGTTTCCCTGAATCTCAAAGTTGGACCAACGGAGCGACGCTGCAACACGACACTGATCTCACGTCTTCAAAACAAGTAATTAAAGCTCCGACGCGTGCAGACAGAATGATGAGCAGCGCCTCGTACAGCAGCTCCCACTCATCTGTCAAACTGTTTTCTGAAGTGGCGGCTAAGTTCTAATTTATCCAGCAGGACCGGAAGCCGTTAATGATTACGCTGCACGACGGTTTAACGGAGCAGCAGAGTGTTTGACATCAGAGCTGCTGCCGGGACAAACGGACTGAACCGTTCTGGTGAGCTGTGCAGTTATTTACCAGTCAAATCAGCGGCGAACGTCATTTACACATTTCCCGCAGACAGAGCAATGTTTGTCCTGAAGCTGATCTCTGATAAAAGTGACAAATAAGCAGCTGCTGTTGTGGCCGAGTTTACGGGGCAGCCTGAAAATGAAGTGGTGTTTTTGTGGTGGTTTGTTTTATTGGATCCGTATTATAATTTCTGTTGCATCAAAGCAGAGAAAATATTTATTTTCCTCAAGTTGAACACAAATTAAAACCCTGAATCTTTAAAACCTAAATTGCAAAGAAAGGAGAATTTCCCTCCCTCCTCCTCGTCCTCCTCCTCCCTCAAAAACCTGATTTCATTGGAGGTTTTAGTCTGGAGTAAGTTGTGTGATATGACGATGAGATGTTTGTTTCTACATC